TTTGGAAGCCAATCATACACACATACACATACACACCCACACAAGAGAAAGAGAGAGAGAGAGAGAGAGAGAGAGAGAGAGAGAGAGAGAGAGAGAGAGTCTGATTCTGTTGTGTTCTCAAAGTTTACTACACTATTTAATTAGAAAACTTTTACATCTTTGTCTCATTTCCCCCTTTTGAGGATATTATTCCCACATCATCCTGAAAGAATGAGATACTTCAAGAACCTAATCTTATACATGAAATATTTAATTATTAGCAAGGGAATGGCAAAGCTAAAAACTCATTTACTTAGTTACATAGGATATGGAGTTGACTACAAATACAGGGTAACAACAATAAACCTTTTGTGTTTGTATCCTATTATAGCAATTTAGATGTTTTAGTATTAATCTATTAATTTAATATATTTGGTATTGGAACGAGAAAAAACTTCTACTATTTACTTGCCCTGATTATAGAAATTTGGTATGAAAGAAAAAAGGTGAGACATAGTTATAACAATATGAAGACAATCCTTCTAGGGTACAGACTGACCTGACATAAGCCATAACAGGGGAAAAACTCCCTTAATTCTGTTTGGTTTTAGGCATGAGTCGTATATGCCATCCAATTATGTAGCAAAGTTCCACATTATTTGTAGCCTCAGAATTAACCAGGTAGGAAAAATTCCTGTTCTGAAAGAAAACAGCACAATGGGAAACTACCTTCACGCATGCCAAAGTCATCCCCTCCACTTTTCCCAGGGACAGAGATCCACTTGTAGCAGTTCTCAGACTACTGCATTCCCTTTGGCCAGCACGTGGTACTTCCCTTGAATAGTGAACTATTGGTTTCATGACAATTCAGACAATCATACCTAAGATAAAGAGTTAGAATACTATCAATTTTCAGTCCCAAGAGACTTTACTTCAAATAGCAAAATTTCACTAATCACAGTTTAGGATTACATAATTATTATTATTATTATTATTATTATTATTATTATTATTATGTTGCAATATAGTTGACAATGAGCACATATAAGGACATTTTATTTGTCCTTCATTTATAAATTAAGAATAACTACATTCTAGAGTTTTACACATAGAATAAACATGTGATAGTTGGCTCAAAGATGTAATTTCAATAGAGACTATTTATTAATAGGGTACAATTTTATATTTTCATAAGTGATAGCCAAATCATCTATCAGATAAAACTCACTTTTTACTATAAGCATGCTTGTAAATCCCCCACTTTGACTGGGCATGGTCCTAATTTCTCAAAATTCAGTACTTCAGAAGTTTATCCCACACTGTCAGCAGGGCTAATAAGATCTTATGACCTCACTCAAGTAGAAAGTCCCAAGGAATAAGATAAGGATAACTTTAAAAGGACTTTGCTACTTTACTCCCAACATTAAGTTATTACTACTATCCATTTTAAATCAAATATAACCCCATTAAATACTTAAAACAGTTTTGAAACATTTTTGCTACATTCTTTTAACAGCTCAATTCGTAATCTAACAACATGCAGATTAAAAGATAAGTTACTTTTCTAATAGCATTTCTGATACAATGGCTTCTAAAATTTCATAATGTAAGAAAAAAATTAGAAACAACAAATAACATACATGATATCATATATTTAAAACATGAAAGAAAACTTATTACCATTCAAGTGGCATCGTTTCAGTCAAATGCATTTCCAAATTTTCTTACTTAGAAAATCATTCATTTTATCTCTTTTAGCATTCTATACTAATCACATCTAACCCAGTATATAGTAATCCAGTACGGAGTAATTACATCCAATAAAATAATAGTAATTTACATTTACGTAGTGCTTATTATGTGCCACGCACTGTGTTAAGCACTTCCTAATTGTTATATCATTTGTTCCTCAAATAATCCTGGTAGGTAGGTGCCATTATTATCCCATTTTACACATGAGGAAAATGAGTGTTTTCTAAGCATGTCTCCTTACTTCCAATATCAAATGATGCTTGCATTGAGTTCTAATTTACCACAATTATCCTGGCAGAAGAACATATTTTACTGTAAATGAGATCACATTATGATTTAGTTTCAGAACAAATTTTGAAAAAGAAAAAGAAATCAGCATGGCATTCCTACCTCTTTATAACTTTTTTGTTTCTTTAAAATTACCCAATGAGCCAAATCAATTCCTTTTATTTTTTTTTCAACCTAACCTAACCCCACCTGGCTTAATTTCTCTTCATTTCCCAATCATATTCAAGGATATCTGTAGAACTAATCTTCACTGAATTTTCCTTTATAATTTAGCACAAGTTTTATTACATAAAATCAATTAATTGCAATACTATTGCCTTTGAGGTTCTTAAGAGCTTACAAATACACAGTCTATTCGAGTACCTTTTGGTGACTTTGCTTCTAGTTCACCTAAACAATTAAGTTCTATTATATCATTCACAGAAGAAATACAGTGGTAACACAAAACAGTCTTTCAGATTAATTTTGTACTTATGAGTTGCTCCCTGATTTAAACAAGCTCTTTCTTTCCATGCCCAAGAAAAAGTTAATAATAAGCAGTTCTTAGGTACCAGATAAATTTAAACTGCAAATGGAAAACCCCCTTTTTTTCCCCTCTTTTCTCTAATCAGTGAAATCACCTTCCTTCCTTACACTCAAACAATAAATCTGTCACTCTTCTGGGAAAGAGTCATAAAAGGACTAAGTGATATTTCATGTAACTTTCAGAGTTTTATTCTTATTTTTCTCCTAAAACAAATTCTACAGAGTGGTACACCAAAACTCACTAAAATATTTCAAACCATTAAAGCATTCAAAGCATAATTTGGAAATTCACAGTAAAGAAATTTCATTCACAAATTTAGTCTGTAATTAGTTGCAATGACAGAAATTCCTGTAGACTGGGAACAAAGATTCTCTTCCTTCTTATCTGTGTCTCTTGTCTGCCTCCTCAACTTGTCCAGAATTTGAAATTGAGAGAGAGAGAGAGAGAGAGAGAGAGAGAGAGAGAGAGAGAGAGAATGAATCTCTCTCAATACTTTGAAAGTTCTTCAGAAAAGTTTTCACTTCTTTTTCTTTGACAGAAAGAAGTTTGTTTTACCAAGATACAAAACAGAGACGTCACAATAAGACAGACACAGAATCAAATAGTCAGTGAAAACAATTTTCTAAAAGCAATCTTAGAGCCTTTAATTTGTAGTAATTTGAAGTCCCTTCTTGGCCAAATCTGGGGCCCATTGATATTCTTGAATATCTTAGATGAATTTTTGCACAATTTGAGACTTTTGTTCTTAGTCATCCCTTTCTGAATGGGATAATTGGCCCTACTAATAATTGGCCCTGTTCCCAGGCCAATAAGAACTTCCCTAAGAGAGTGTCATTGGATTACTAAAGCCTGCCTGCATATTAACCTCATCAGGGTACCACTCGCTACTGAGGAGGTAATCATCTGGATGTGGTTTGGGAAGATGTGAAGGTCTAGGGATGAATGGTCCTTTGCTGAGGAAATCCATCAGTAGAAATCTTATCAGAATATTTTAGGGTGTTCTTTTGGTGAAGATCTGGTAGTCACACAGAGACTTGTAGTCTCAATCCCTTCTAAATCACCGTTAACTGTTATAGTGGAATAAAGAAACCAAGTGATTACATCCATATAACATTTTATTTAGCAATGCCTGTGGTTGTAGAAACAAATTGGGTCTGAGGCTCTTGATAGCCAAGGACAATGACCATTAGTTTCTATACAGTTAATATATAATTTAGAGGGAGTGAAAAACAGGAAAAGTAGGATTATAGGGATTGAGGCACCTAGTTTCTTATTGGTGGAGAGAACTGGGAGACACTGAAGTGAGACAGGTTGAGTGACCTTTAGAAGGGGGAGTAATCTTGTAATTTTTGGAAAATCAGATGACTTTCAAGAAGTTGAAACTTAACTTCACAAAATGGTGGCTAAGGGCAATATGGAGTCAACAATGCTATTTTAATGTAACACAAGCTACCACCTCTGTTGGTTTAAGCTTGTCACTTAATGGGCTGTGTTAAGGCCTGGGAATACAAAGATGAACAATGACACATTTCTTGACCTTAAGGGGTGAGGTGAGCGGAAATGAGCGTGTGTGGGAGAAAATTAAGAGGAATGCAGAAGAATGCAGCCAAACTTCAACATGGAATATGCCACTAGGTTGAGAATCAATCAGTCAATAAATATTTATTATGCACCAACTATGTGCCAGGAACTGTGCTAAATGCTGGAGATACAAAGAAAGACAAAAGGTAGTCCTTGCCCTCAAGGAGCTTATAGTCAAATGGGGGTGACAACATGTAAACAACTATATACAAACTATATACAGGATAAATATGAAATAATCAACAGAGAGAAGGTACTAGAATTAAGGGCGATCAAGAAAGGCTTCCTTTAGAAGTTGGGATTTTAGCCAGGGAAGCCAAGAGGTGATGATGAGGAAGCAGAACATTCCAGGCCTGGGACATAGCCAGAGAAAATATTAGGAGTTAAGAGATGGCATTTCTCATTAGAGGAACAGCAAGGAGTCCAGTGTCACTGGGTCACAGAAACCTGTATGTGGAGGTGTGTAAGGTGTAAGAAGACTGGAGCGGTTGGGAAGGCAGGTTATGAAGGCCCTTGAATGCCAAAGAGAAATTTTTTATATTTGACCATGAAGGTGACAGGTAGCCATTGCAGTTTATTGAACTGGGGGGAAGAGGGGAAAAGGAGACATACATGTGATCAGACCTTTGTTTAAGGAAGATCACTTTGACAGCTAAATGGAGGATGGACTGGAGTAAGGAGAGACTTATGGTAGGGAGATCAACTGACAGGCTGTTATCATAGTCTATGCCTGAGGGGATGAGAGCCTTTATGAGGGTGCTAGCAGTATCAGAGGAGGCACTGTTTAATGAGGCTTGGCACTTTGGTATAATAATGGTTTGTACTAAGCACTGGGGATGTAGAGATGGACAGTGACATAATTCCTTCCCTTAAGGGGTATATGGGAGAAAAAGAAGACATAAAGTTAAGGAGAAGGAACAAGAAGAATGGAGCCAAACTTCAACATGGAGCATGCTACCAGTTTGGAAATTCTGGCTACTGGAAAGTTGGCAGCTCTGGGGAAGGGAAAGGGAGAAGAGAGTGAGGAGATGGACAAACATGATGTTTGCTTCAGCACAGAGGTAAGCCTGAGATCTCCTGGCATTGTCCTTTGGATTTGGAGATATATGAAGATGTACAGTGTGGTTTGACTTCTCTGGCTATGCTTATTTTGGACTTCTCTGCCCCTCCCCTCACATCATGTCCCCCAGTATGCTACCTTCCCCTCTCTCCTTTTCTGCTTTCTTTTATGGGTTGTCTTTCCCTTTTAATTGTAAGGTCTTTGAGAGCATAGACTATCTTTCTTTTCCATATTTGTATCCCCAGGGATTAACACAGTGCCTGGCACATAGTAGATGGTTAATAAGTGTTTATTGACTATTGATTACTGCATGACTGGACCAAGCCTGGAATGAAACCTAGAGGGCCCACCACCACAGGAAAGCAGATAAATTACATTAATACAGCAATAAGAAGGGTGATAAATTATTTTTCTTTTTATTATCTCCCAGAAGGCATTCCACATATATACACAAGGCATTTCAATAAAATAAATACCTTAATGCGAATTTTAGGATATATTTATGCATGTAGGTAAAACATGACAGCTTATTCTATATTGTTATAAGACACTGGCATTAGGCCAAGGTGTTCACTCTCTTCTATATTTTCATAGGACCCAACTGGCAATGCTTTTATGATGATTACCAAGTTCTGTTTTGTCTTATAGTTACTTGTGTTCTTGTCCTGTCCTTATGTGCTGCTACATTGTAAGCTCCCAGAGGGCAGGGACTAGTCATCTACATCTTTGTGTCGCAGTCTTGGTGATGCTTCTCTTCAGCTGCCCTTGATGGGTCCACCACAGCTAATCCTCCATGATCCCTTCTGGCTTCTCCCTCTCAGAAACCCATTCACATTCAAAGGTGATAGATGATGCCATTGGAACTTTGGGAATGCTGGGTAGAGCCCCCTCCCCTAACCAGGCCACTGGAGGCCTTCCTGTTAATGCCCCTTTGGGCAGCGTCACAAGGCAGGTTATATTCTGTGTCCCTAGTACTTAGCCCAGTGATTTATAAGTCATAATGAATATCCATTGAATTAAACTGCTTGTTCCAGGAATGCACCTGATTTTAAGGCATTTATAAAAATATTTCTAGGGTACAAAGATCAGCTGCAGATGTGTGGCAAAGTTAAGGTTTGTAGTAGAGGTTATCTCATTCCTCATTTACCTGGAAGATGGGCAGGACAAGCAGGAAATGTGGAAATGTTTATGGATGCATCATTCAGTCCTGATAACAGAGCTCTTCAGATTCTCCACCCAGACTACATTGCTCTTCAGTGCACACATGACCAACACAGAGAAGTTTCAAGAGTCCTGTAAATTTGAGAGCTTTTTTAAATCATCATAATAGTGTGTCTTTGGCAGACTGTGCCCAGTAATTCACACACACACACACACACACACACACACACACACACACACACACACCCTGAGGTTCCTCCCTGAAAATAAGTCTGCATGATTATTGAAAGTACACTATTAAAATATGCATTGATTATTTGGGAAAGCTCAAAGACAGACATGCCACTCAATCAGAGGCTCTTTGTATGGGGAACTTCAAAAATCTTGACAGTCCTGCACAGAGCAGGGTCATAGAGGGGGGGCTTTATAACTCTCCTCATCAGTACTAGAGTTTGAGAGAGGTTGGAATTTCTGGTCAGGTTAGGAGTGAGGGAGAGAAAAAGGAAGAGAGGGAGAATGCCCCTCTAGTTATGAGGATATCTGAAACTCCCAAACCAAAAGAGAAAGGGCAGATCCAAAGGAAAAGCTTCCCCAGAAGAGAACTCAAGGGCCTGAAGCCCCAGCACTGCAGACTCTAGAAAGCTAAATCCATGCCTCTGTAATTCCAGTTTTGTGTTTCCTTCACTCTCAAGCCTTCTATTGCCCCCTTGGGAGCCTTGACCATACAACAGGAAACTCTGTGGCAATGGGAGTAAGACGTTCTCAAAAATGCACAGAAGCTAATGGTGCATATTTTGAACAGCTGCTTTTTCAAGCTCTGTTTATGACATCTCTTTCAGGCAAAATTAATCGATTATTAATTAGAATGACCCTGGTTTTTTTCAAAATTCATATGGATATAACACAGGACATAGAGAATCTAAGTGACCTGTCTAAAGTGCGTCAGTGGCAGGGCCAGAACAGAACCAAGTCTGTTATTGTTAGTCATTTCAGTTGTGTCTGACTCTCCATGAGCCAATGAGGGGTTTTCTTGGCAACGATACTGGAGTGGTTTGCCATTTCCTTCTCCAGCTCTTTTTTAACAGATAAGGAACTGAGGCAAAAAGGGTTGGGTGACTTACCCAGGGTCATGCAACTAGTAAGACTTTGAGGCCAGATTTGAACTTAGGTCTTCCTGACTTCAGGGCTGGCGCTCTATCCATTGCACCAGAACTGATTCTAGTGGGAAGAAATTTTCTGGCACTGAATTCAAGGACTTGCCATTTTTTAATCATGCAGGTTCTCAAATTAGGTCACAAAGTCACCAATAGGATTAAATGAGATAATATTTATAAAGCACTTAGTAGTATGTCTGGCACAGAGTAGATAAAAATAAATGCTTTTCCCTCTCTTCAGCCCTCCCCATGATCACAAATTCAGTGAGCTGGCATTTTTAAGTATCTACTACATGCCAGGCATTGTGCTAATCCCATCATAATATTCTGGAATTGGAAGGTACTGAAACAGCCTAGGTAGATCAATACCTTTCACTTAGGAGTAGGAGAAGATGTAGAGGAGGAGGAGTATATGGGAGGGAGATGCAGCTAGAGTGACTGATGAATACCTAAGAGGACAGCCACTAACTCCAAAGCAATTGTCCGAATCCTTGTGTTTAGCCTTATCTGTTCCACTCATGACTGGGAAGTTCACAGGCAGCTGGGGTTACTAACTCTTACCTGGAGTATCCATCTTCCTTCGTCTACCTCAGAACAAAACCCTTAACTTCTTCAGCCTCTACAGAGCTAGTCAGTAGTCTGAGCCAAGCCAGTTGCCTAATATTCAGTTGTGTGTACATGGGTCTTCACTTTCTGGAATAAACCCAAAGGTGAGTCTCAGGATGGCCATGGGGAGGGAGGTTTCACACACATCTTGTATCCTCTTTGTATGAGTATGTTCATGTGGCTTGTAAATCATTCAACAAACCCTGCAGTTAATTTAAGTTGAGTGTAACAATCTATATCTCTGTCCTTTCAAATTCCTGCCCTTGGTGATCACAGGTACCACCACCTAATGCATGAATCCTCTCTACCCTGTCAAGAGCTACTTGAACATCTCTAGCAATAGAGAACTTACTACCTTGAAAAGTAGTCTATTCCACTTGTAACTAATTCAATCAATCAGTAAGCATGTAAGAATCCCCTCTTACATGCAAGGCATTGTACTAGGGCTGGGGCCACAAAGACAAAAATGAAACAATCCTTGATCTTAAGGAGCTTACATTCTATCAGTTATTAGTTATTAGCTTTTCTTCTATTTAACTGACATCTACCTTCAGAAATGTATGTACATTGTTCTTTCTGTCTTTTGGGATCAAACAAAATGATTTTAATCCCTTTTCCAAGGTAGCAGTCTTCAACTACAGTTATCCCTTCCACATTGCAGCTTTCCCCATTAAGGTTTTGATATATCACAGGTCAGCATAAGAAATTAAATGGAAACTTTTTGGGAATTTTACAGAAGTTGAGAAGACATGCAAACGCCACAGATGACACAGAACAAATTTAGAAACTCAGAAATGCATAAAATATATGTATAGTATTATATAATATCAACCCAAATTTTACAATACAATACTGTAAACACCACATAAAAGAAAAAAAATTCAGACATCTCTGGTATAAAAAGAGAGCGAAAAAATTTCACATGGATTTTCCAGATCATGGGGGGAAAGGGGGAAGGGAGGGTAATCATTCCCCTAACCCCTGCGATGTGGAAGGGATAACTGTGTTTGGAAATAACTCTCTGGTCTCTTTTCATCAGGTTTTGTTGTTGTTCAGTCATTCAGTTGTGTTTGAATCTTTGTGACCCCATGGACCACAGCACACAAGGCCCTTCTATCTTCCATTATCTCTCAAAGTCTGTCCAAGTTCGTGTTCATTTTTTCCATGACACTATCTATCCATCTCATCCTCTGTCATCCCTTTTTCTTTTTGCCTTAAGTCCTTAGGGTCTTTTCTAATGAGTCCAGTCTTCTCATTATGTGGCCAGAGTTTCAGCTACAGTATTTGACCTTCCAGTGAATAGCCTGAATCAATTTCTGTAAGTATTGGTTAATTTGATCTCATCTCCAGTTCCTTCATTCAGTCTTCACTTGGTTTTATCTTCTTCTCACTCTGGTCACCATCCTCCCAATATTCTCCAGCTTCTTAATGTCCCCTCCTAAAATGTGAAGCCCATAGCTGAACAAACACTGGAGCTCTGTCAGAGAGGGCTGGGCAGACTGACAGGATGCCACAGTGAAGCAGGCAGGGCCAAGCAAGACAACATATGTTATGGTAGTGGAACAAGACAAAACAGAATCCAGGTGAGATGTCATGGCTACAAGCACCCAGCGTAGCACAGGTCACCACAGCAGAGCTCTGCTAAATAAACCAGTGTCAACAAGGTTTTAGGAAGAAAAGAGAGATTTAAGCTCAATCTGACATAGCACCAAGAGTAATATTCTCTCTCTCTCTCTCTCTCTCTCTCTCTCTCTCTCTCTCTCTCTCTCTCTCTCTCTCCCCATATATATATATGTATATATATATCTATTAAAGTGCAAAGCATTTTACATATATTATTTGACAACAGCCCTGTGTAGGTATTAGAGTGTATTAAAATTGTATTTTATTTTGGTCCCTCTGACTAAACCCTGCCCCTTCTAGTCAGTATATTAAGTTTATTTGTCACCAGTATAAAGGGGCAATAACAGGAAATAAGATTGCAAAGGGAAACTGAAAGTTCTACAAATCATCCCCAAAATCAAAGGAACATAATTTACAAATTATAACATACATTAACCAAAATTCATGCCCTGGTAAT